CTGTCGCGCCCCGTACCCCTGGACCCCAGCACCAAGCTCAGCCCCTCCCGCTCGTAAGGATTTGTTGGATGACGGTCTGATGGAAGCCAGGACCAGAACACGGATCCCGATTCCATGTTGCCTGGCCCAGAAGGCTCAGCGATGCTGCGGGAGGCAGTTAGGGGGGTGGGCCTTGGCCTGCCGTCTGGCAACTGGGCAGCTAGAACCAACTCCAGGTGGGGATGTCGCCGCCCCTGCTCCTTTCTCTCCTTGCCCTCCCCCCACTCCGCTCTGCGTGGAAGTTTCCCAGCCTGCAGGCACCCTTCCCCTGAAGGAGCAGGAGCAGGGAGCAGGACAACAGCCCCCAGTTGGCTGCGATTGACCTTTTCAAATGTGTGTGGAGGGAACCTGACGGAAAGCTGAGGGGGCTTTAAATTCAGGTTTTCCATGCGCTTGCTGTCTGCTTGCCTTGTTTGCTGCACCCTCATGCCTCTGTCAGCACCCCTCCCCCTCGGCTAGCAGCCAGGAGGACATTCTCTCATGGGGGGTGGGGTCCTTAATGAAACTCCCCTTCTAGGTTCCAGTGAGAATCCTCTTCGGAAGCCCAGGGGGCAGTTTGAATTAGCCTTCACTTGAGTGAGTCATAGGGTGTGTGGCTTCCTCACTGGGCCTGCGGGTGCCACAATCCCCACCGGCACCTACAATTTGAGGGTGTCTTCTTTTGGGGGAAGAGAGGAGTGAGCTGATTGGCCAGAAGCCCTCTGCTAGGAACTTGCTATTTTTGCCTCAGCCGTCCTCATGATGAAGTTGCCCCCTGGGTGCCATCTCTCATGCCATCTCATATTCTCAGCCAAGGGACTGGCATGTGGTGGTGGTGGTGGTGGTGGTGGTGGTGTGTGTGTGTGTGTGTGTGGGGGGGGGTGTTACTTGACTCCACAGCCTTAGTTTTGTGTTGCGCATCGGATCAGCACTTCTCCACTTGTTACAGACAACACTTCTGTCTCTCAAGATGTTAAGAGCTACTCTGTGAAGAAAGGGCTTTATGGTCAAATACACTCGGAAAGCACTGGATTAAACCAAGTCAGCGGGTGTGTTCACTGCAGGACTTTTCAGAGCCTTTAATCATATCCTCTTGTGTGCCGAGGCTCTGAGGAGAGAGAGGAGGCAGCGTCCTTGTTTGGCGGGGGACTGTGGATGAACGCTTTACGGCACTCAGGTTGGGGGACAGGGTTTTCCTTTCCTCGTGGGGGTTTATCGATAGAGCTCGGAAAGCGAAATGAGACCAGGGCCAGAGCTGACGGTTCCACATGGGCCTGGGAATGTGCTATGACAGGCTCCCCTGGCGACACAGGGCGAGGATGGGGGCATCTGAGGACGATTGGCCAGTGGACTGAGTTCTAGGCCACTGAGTGGAAGGTCTGGGTTCGAGTCCCAGCGCTGCTCTGGGTCACTGAGTGACGGGATTGCCTTCTCCACGCCTTCGTGTCCTCTGCCAACACAGGCTACATAGGACTTGCCTGTCTGCCTCTCAGAACCGAGGCGAGGAGCTTGCAGTTATGGCCGCGGGAATACATCAGCCATCATCATCTGTGGGTCCTGTCATTCGGGCCTCAGGCCCGGGGAGTGGGCTCCTGAGGGGAGTGCGGGATCATCTGTAGAATAAAGTGCTGGCGGACACGGTTCGATTGTTCACCGTGGGCCAGACCCTGTTTTAAACACTTCACCTGAGTTTACGTATTTATTCCTCACAACAACCCCATTTCACAACTGAGGAAACGTAACTTGCTAAAAGTCACAAAATAACTCGCTGAAAGCTGGGTGAGGGTTATGATAAGAGGGGTGCTCCCTGAAGGGCATCCCCCTCCCTGGTTTCCAAGCCCCCTTTAGCCCTGCACAGTCCTCAGCAGGAGTCTTGACTGTATTCATGAAGCATCCCCACCGGTGTCATGTCTGCTTTGAGTGTTTGCACCCCTGGAGTGTAGAGGGGGCCTGTCTGTCCCCATCTCCCCCTCCTATTTGATCATCTCAGGAGCTGTCATTTAGCAAAAGAGCACATGCATACTGTTCGGCCAGATGTTTTACACATATTGTCTCCTTGTTTGTTTTTGGTTAATCCTCCCCCAAAGATATTTTCCCATTGATTTTTAGAGAGAATGGAAAAGAGAGGGAGAGAAACATCGATGTGAGAGAGACACATAGATTGGTTGCCTCCTGCACGCACCCTGACCTGGGCTGGGCATCAAGCCTGCAATCGAAGTGACTGGCATCGAACCCGGGACCCCTCGGTCCATGGGCCGGCGCTCTATCCACTGAGCAGACCGGCTAGGGCTGCACGTATTTTTTTAAACCCTCACACCAGCCCCGGGAGAAGGCATTATTGTTCCCGTTTTGTAAATGAAGAGGCCAAGGCTCAGAGAGATGAAGTAACTTACCCCGTGTCACCCAGCTCGTGGGTAGCAGAGCCAGGAATTCATCCCAGATTGTCAGCTCTTTCCATCTCTCTAAAGCCAGTCTCTCCTCTGCCCACTGTTGCTTGTCACATGCCACTGCTTTAGAGTCGTCTTAGCACCAAGCGTACTCGGAAACCATCCGGTTCGTTTCTGTTTTTCTGTTTGCTACCAGTTTACCCAAGAGGCTCTTTCCGAGCTGGTCCCCAGCTTTCCCCGACAGCCTCGTCAGCACCCGCAGGGCAGCGGCTTGGAGCGTTTGTTGTGTGACGGGCTGGTGTTATGGGTTCACTCAGCGAGATAGACCACCGACTCAGAATTTAAATTTAAGAGCCTCTATTAAGCTGGCCAGCGGACCACAGTCACAGCACCCTGCCGACGCAGAGGCTGAACTGCAGCGATGACTACAGGAGTTACATTTTATTATTAAATTTTGTGGAGGCCCAGAGAAAATGTGTCTTTCAAATTCTGGGCCCCCCAATATGGAGGAAACTCTCTTTATTTATACTTTTTCCAGTCCTTTGTCTCCCAAATTTGGAATGAGACTTCTGGACCTTCTGAGCAAGAAGGCCTGCGTGCTGGGAAGGGGCCATGAGACCATATCTCAAGGCCTGGCCTGATGTCAGTACCTTCCTATCTGTGTATTTTAGGAACAGACAGCACAGCATGACCCGTCTGGCCAAAGCGCCAGATATGCAGCCCAGCACACTGGATGGAGGGATTATCTCGGGGCCCCTGACATGGGCTCTGGCCTGGTTGCCTTTGGAATCAGAAGATGCTGCTGTTGGCAGTGCCGCCCTGGGGCGTGTGGAGGGGAGGCTGAGGTTAAGCGGGACAGAGGACAGCGACGCTGTGGGGGTTTCTGTTGGTTCAGGGTTAGAAACACAGTTCCAGACACTCCGGGGGTGAACAAAATGTGGGACGCTGGCTCATGCTAACAAAACTCAGTGGGGGTGGTGGTGAGGGTGGGGGAGTGGGGTGGTGGACAAACTGAAATGCCAAGGTCAGGGGGTCTGGCTACCTTGCTGCTAGCCAGTACTCCTCCAAAGGGAATATGTACCCTGGGAGATGTCAGCCATGGGAAGGGGCTCACCCAGTAGGAGTTCACAGCCTGGTGGCAGAAAGACAAGGACCTGAATTGGATGGACACACAGATTGATGCCTTGTTGTGGTGCTGGGGGAGTAACCATACAAAAGGAGGGGTTGTGCAGGAAGCCATGGGCGCTTCCTGGAGGAAGTTACACATTGTATGTCCAGGCTTTATCTCACCTCTGTGCACCTCTTTAGGGCCAGGACTCTGTTCACTCCCTATGTCCCTCGAACCCTACAGCTCTCCCACCTCCTCTCTCCACCATCAACTGTGAGCACACAGGTGTGAACAGGGGGCTTTGTCCTTCTTCCGGGGGCCCAAGCCTTTGTGGGGTGGGGCTGGTTTGCCTTTAGGATGGGGGGGGGGGCTGACACTGAGGGAGGGCCTTTCCCAGTTCTGTCATTTCCCTCTGGGTCCCCCTGCCCTGGGCACTGGGAGAGAGATTGTGGGGGAGCCAGTTTTTTGAGAACTTCCGAGTCCCCATGGGAGAACTTCTGTCCCTTGGAGAAGATGCTGGCACAGGCCCAGGGAGCACCGAGGGAAAATTAACAGGGCTTTGGGGAAAGGGAATGTGTAGTCTGTGGGTTGGGGAATCTTAGGGTAGGCTCTCTGAGATGGTTGGGGCTGGGTAAATGCCCTCAGGAGAAACTAAGGGAATGACGGAAGCAGCTGGGCAAAAATGTGGTTCAACTGACTTAGCCTTTGCCTGTTCCTAGGGTCTGGGGGGGCGGGGTGGGGGCTGTGTCTGGAGCGTGAACAGGACCACAGTCATCCCATCTTGAGGCAAGAGGACTAGCATCTGCACCCGTGTTTGCCAGGCATTGGGTGGGTGTGTATATCGGGGAAGGGTGACCTCCTAGGCATTTCCGGGCCAAGTGCTGGCTAAGGGCAATTCCCTGGGAAGGTGAGCTCTGTGCACCCACAGCCACCACTCAGAGCAGCGGGGTGGATGCACCGACCAGATGCGGGAAGCTGGGTGGAGCCCCAGCAGCCTCCCCTGTAGGGCTGCTAAGACGGTGATGCTCACTGGGCGATGACCAGTCTGCATGGTGATGCTCACTGGGTGATAGCCAGTCTGTATGGTGATGCTCACTGGGTGATAGCAGTCTGTATGGTGATGCTCACTGGGTGATAGCCAGTCTGTATGGTGATGCTCACTGGGTGATAGCCAGTCTGTATGGTGATGCTCACTGGGTGATAGCCAGTCTGTACAATTACAAAGCCCCTCCCCCTCATCCCCCCACCAGCTCACTGGAGTGCACAGGTCTCCTGCAAGGGCATGGGATGGGGAGGAAGTGCCCCTGAGCTCCCTGCCTCTCTGGTTCTGGCCTGCGGGCTCTGGCAGGATTCTTTCTGAGCTCCATGGGGCCAGGCCTCCAAAGAATGACCTGGGAAGGTCTGGGCTGACCCTTCCTTCAGACATGCTCAGGAGGGAGTCTCAGACCCCTTCTCGCCTCTTGTCTAACCTCCCCGCTCTCTGTCAGCTCCAGCCCAGGCCCAGATCGTCCACGCGGGCCAGGCGTGTGTGGTGAAAGAGGACAACATCAGCGAGCGCGTCTACACCATCCGGGAGGGCGACACCCTGGTGCTGCAGTGCCTTGTCACCGGGCACCCCCGGCCTCAGGTAGGGCCCCATCCCGCCTGTGCGGCCCCTCCTCCCTCCCACCCCCACTCTGGGATCACAGCTTGAGAAGCCAAAGCAGGGGTTGGGGACTAGGGGCGATAGTGGCAAATACACAGAAGACAGGAGATGGGGCTGGGGAAGCAGCTGGAAAATGAACTCTCTGGGGGAAGGGCTGGAGGCTGCGGGCTTATTCGCCTGGAAACACTGATGGCCAAGGGGAAACACTGAGTGTCAGGTATTCGGTTCCACTCCATCCCTCGTGTCTGTGAGCGGACACATCCTCAGATGCAGCTTCAGTCTATATGGTGATGCTCACTGGGTTAGAGGCCGTGTGCCAAGCGCTAAGGTAGGTGCTTTCTCCAGTGTTTTCTCGTTGGCTCATCACAACCAGTGTTTTCCCTGCTACTTAGGCTCAATCCCTGGGCTCATATTTGGAGATTGAGGTTCAGGGAGGTTAGGTAAACTCCCCAGGCCACACAGCTCTGGTGAAGGTGGACGCAGAATTTGAATCCAGAACCAGTGTTCTCTGTAGCTTGGCACACTTCCTCCCAGGGCATCGGTCTTTGGATTGGGGACTCCAGGAATTACCAGCCACATTTAATACAATCTCTACTTTTGGAGGCGTCTGCTAGACAAGCCCTACACTCTGGAGATTGAAAGACTCAAAGCAATTAGAAAGCAACAGATGCTGAGAATCTGGAAATGCCAGGTGAATCTTGTCCCAGACCAACAGAATGATTCAGACAGGAAGCCGAGGCTGGTTATCGCTGAGAGCCACTGGGAGGAGGCAGGAGGCGGTGGGCTGGAGGGAGGATGCAATTTGCCGGTGAGCTGCTGTGACCTTTAAGAGGAGCAGAAGAGGTTTCGATTGGATCCTAGAAGGAGAGTGAAATGTGAAATCAAATGTCCTTTTTCAGGACAATTTTAGGAACAGGGATGGCTTTAGTAGGTTGGGCCTTGAGATGAGCAGATGGCCAAGGAAACCCCCAAGGACTTCGGGCCTGACGCTATGCCTGCTGCTTGCTCCTTCTCTGAGGTTTGTTTAGAGGCGAAAGCGGTGCTGCCAGCCTTCAGGCCGGTGTTGTGTCAGGTGTGATGATTAGGGATGGTTCTCCTGACGCCAGGGAGGCAGCTGGGCCATCTCTCCCTAAGGCGCACTAGCCATCTGTGGGTGTCCCCTGTGTCTGAGTCATCTGTGGTTGTGGCTGTGTGTACAAGCCTTCATCTTTCCATTTCCATCCGAGGTTTCCTTGTTTTTCATGCTACCTAGGCTCAACCCCCTGGGCTCCTATTTGACTCTGTCCCATCTCATTCCCCACAGATAGCTGGACTCTAAGGCCTGTCTTTCTATGCCCTTGCATGGGTCTTCTCCTCTCTATTCCTCATTGCTCCTCTAAGTCAGACCTTCAGTCCTGTTCCTTGGTCCCCTGCAGTAGACTCTCACTGGCCTCCCATTCTCCCAAGTCTCCCCCTCCAATCCATTCCTGCACCCTGACCCCAATCCTCATCCTCCAGCTGGCTGCATCATATCATTGCCCTGCTCCACAACCTTCGATGGCTCCCTGTTACCAACCAGACTCAGCTCAGGTTCCTGGAAGTAGAATGGAAGACCTCCCACAATCCAGCCCCCTCCTGCCTTTCCTGTCTCAGCTCCCACTGGCATCCTCCTCACACCCTGTGTTCCAATCGAACTTGCCCAGTACACCCAGCCCATTCCTGCTTTAACCACTGCGGCTCACCTCTCCTGAAACTCCTTCAGTTCCCTTTTTCACTCGTTTCATTACAACCAATAGTTATTGAGTCCCTGCCATGTGCCAAGCCCTGTCATGGGGCACAAGGATATAGCTACGGTCCTGTTGTCATGGAGCAGCTAGTCTCATAGGGGAGCAGCCCCATCTCATGGCCCCCTGTGTGGGGGACTGAGTGGGCGGGGCATTCTCCACTCCAAATGTCAAGAGAGGGAACCTCTGGGGCCAACGTACAGAGGAATCCATAGCGATGGTAGTGAGCAGAAGCCGAAGAACCTGGTCCGTGGAGGGCCATGGGCCTCAGGGGTAGTAGGGTTCATGCACACGGAGGGGGCATGAGTTGAGGCCACAGGGCTGTCCATGGCTGGGGAGCTGGAGCTGGACTCTACTTAACGCTGGAAGCTCGACACGAGTGGCACCACCTATCACTGGAGACCAGAGACCTCTGTCCACAGCCCAGAGTCACAGCCGGGAGCGGACCCTCTGCTTCAGGATGTGGGTACACACAGTCACCTAAGAGAGAGCGTGACCCTAAGCCTGTCGCTGTCTTGCACTATCCAAGTGGTGAGGAAACCCTAAGCTGAGAAACAAACATAAAAACTGGTTGGAACCTGTGCACCCATGTATATTGGACATAGGCAGCCGTAAAGCTACACCACAGACAGGGGAGGATAAAGCAAACCACATCCTAAGCAGCATGGAAACAAACGCCATCTAGACAATCATGTTAAAACCGCACAAGCCAAGTATAAAAAGAAAACATATTTCCATGGCCTTGTTCTCTCTCCAAAGCACCCTGTGGTCTAAGGGCGGATTGCCTGAAACGGCCTGCGTCCTTCCCCAGGTTCTGTAAGCTCTAAGCCCATGAGGGTAGGGTTGTGTGTCGGGGGGATGAGAGTAGCAGTGTTATGGCCTGCAGTGGCCCCTCCCTGCGTGAGAAGGTTGTCCTTTCACCGACTTCTCCCGGCCTTTTTGTTTTCATGACCTGTGGCCTGACCTCGTCACCAGGCTCAGGGCCCTGGCCCTGTCTCAGTAACAAGCAGTCCTCCTCAACTTTAGATGGAAACGTCCCTATCGCATCCTCTGATCCTTAGCACTTAGTCATCTGAAACAGGTCAGTTTTTCTCGAACCTCTGGTACTTTGAACAGTAGCTCCCGTTTCTTGGGTGATCCTTAATAGTGTCCCATCGTCTAAGGCAGTGGTTCTCAACCTTCTGGCCCTTTAAACACAGTTCCTCATGTTGTGACCCAACCATAAAATTATTTTTGTTGCTACTTCATAACTGTAATGTTGCTACTGTTATGAATCGTCATGTAAATATCTGATATGCAGGATGGTCTTAGGCGACCCCTGTGAAGGGTCGTTCGACCGCCAAAGGGGTGGCGACCCACAGGTTGAGAACCACTGACTAAGGCAATGTTAATAATAGCCATTTATTGAGTGACTCATATATACCAGGCCCCACACCTAGCTGCTTTACATACTTTATTCCTGAACATCACAATGACCTGCAAAGTGGGTGTTATGCTACATAATAGTTATGGTTATCTATTGCTACAGAACAGGTGCTCCAAAATGAGGGGCTTAAAACAGCGAACACCATTGTCTGACGGTTTCTGTGGGATAGGCAGGGTGGAGTGGCTGAGTTGGCTGGCGCTGGCTCAGGGCCTCTCACCGGCTGCAGTCATTTGAGGACTGACTGGGGCTGGCACATCCCCTTCCAGACCACTCCCAGGTGCTGCCCCGAGGCTTCCCGCCCTCCCTGTGGGCCTCTCCATAGGGTTGCTCATGACAGGACAGCTGGCTTTCCCCAGAGCGAGAAAGCCACCAAGATGGGAATCACAGTCTTTTATAACCCAATCTTGGAAGTGAGGTACCATCATCACTCCTGCCCTATTCTACTGGTCACACAGACCATCTGGTACTAAGTGTGAGGGGACTACAGAAAGGTGTGAATACCAGGAGGCAGGCAGCGTTCCAGGCCAGCATGGACACTGGCTACTACCTAGACCTCTTGCACAGATGAGAAATCTGAAGCCTTCCAGCACTAAGTATACATTAATTTAATACCCCCAGTCACCCCAGGAGGGTGCAATAGTCTCCATTTTACAATGAGTAAAGGGGCAGGAGAGGCTGGGTAATTTGCCCACAAGTCCATGCTCCAAGCACTGCACATACTGCCTTCTTTAAAGCCTTAGCCTTCTGACCCCGGATTCCCCAGGCTCTTGGCTGACATGTCCTACCTTGCCTGCGCATTCCCACAAGTCTGTTTGGGTTGGTTTCCTAGGCCACGTAAGCTTGTGAAGGGGAGACACATTGCAGGGTTCAGCCTGGAGGCTCCCCACCCTCACTGCGGGGTCTGAATCTGCTCTCCCTGCCTGCCCAGGTGCGGTGGACCAAGACTGCGGGGAGCGCGTCCGACAAGTTCCAGGAGACATCCGTGTTCAATGAGACTCTGCGCATCGAGCGCATCGCGCGCACGCAGGGCGGACGCTACTACTGCAAAGCGGAGAACGGCGTGGGCGTGCCCGCCATCAAGTCCATCCGCGTGGACGTGCAGTGTGAGTTGGCGCCCTTCCTGGCTGTCCTGGCCCCTCCCTGTCCGTCCTGGCTTTGGGAGACCCCCTGGGGCTCAGGCTGGGAAGGAGGAGTGGGGGTGGAGTGCCATAAAGAACCGACACCTCCGTGGAGGACAGTAGACACTTCCTCTCGCCCATGCTGGAGAGGGAAATCGCTGCTGCTTCCCTGCGGTTCCTCTGATGTGTACTACCCTATGCCACTCACACTTTCCCGTCCCTAATCCCTTATGAATCTCGAAACATCCCTGCCAGAGGGCAAGACAGGTTGGATTATACCCATTCCACAGATGAAGAAACGGAGGTAGCAAGGGCTCATGACTTGTTCAAGGGCATAGGTCTCTTCATTATGGTCCAGTGCCCTTCCCACATACCTCATGCCTCTGATTTTGTCCCAGGGCAGCTCTGAAACTTCCTTACCCCACCACGTGCAGGCGCAAGCACCCGTCAGTCCTTGCTGCTTGGATGGGAGGCAGTCCCTACCTACCCCATGGATATTCCCTTAATCCCAAGAGGCTAGCTCCCTGCTTGCCACCCGCCTCTGTGCCTATCCAGGCTGACCCACGTACCCAGCACCTGTGGGGCCAGGCCCAAGGGCCTGGCTTATACAATCTTAATGTCTACAATGAACTTACCCATTAAAGATACCTCACACTCCCCCAGTGGAGCCCCATAGAGTGGTGAGCAATGGAACCCCAGGTCCTCCCTTCTGTCCCCCATCAGCCACCCAGGGGCCTGCCAAACTCTGGGACTGAGGGTCATTTCTCGAGTTATTGGTGCTGGAAGGGGCTGGCAGGCATGCCCTGGACTTCATCACTGCCCCCCCTCTGCCCGTGCCTTGGTAATGATCTTTATCTCAGTGGACCGTGGAAGGAGGACAGAATGTTGGGCTGTTGGAACATCCACTGAAGGACGTGTGCATGTGGAATGATGGTGCCTTTGGTTCACAATCCTGGTTGCACATTAGAATCCCTGGGGTAGGGGGGCGGGGATCCTTTTAAAAAATACTGATGTCTGGGTCCTGCTTTCAGAGATTCTGATGTAATTGACTGGGGGTGGGGCCCTGACATTGGGGTTTTTTTTTTTTTTTAAATTGAGGATTAACCTACATGCGATAGAGTGCACTAGTCACAAATGTACAACTTAACGAATTCTTACATGTGTATGTGCCTGTGCAAACACCACCAGTTCAAGAGAACCTCCAAGACCTAGAAAGTTCCCTCATACCCCCTGCTGTCAGTAATCTTCTTAGAAGCAATCACTCTTCTGATTTCTGACACCGTTAATGAGCTCTTCCAGGCATCGGTATTAAAAAGGAAATCTCCATGTGGTTCTATTGTGCAAACAGGGGCGAGAACCGCCAATCTGGTCCAATTTACTCCTGAGGAAACTGGCAGGGAGGGGCTTAGGCAGGTCTCACTACAAATTAATAGCTAGCCTGGGATTTGAACCAGGGTTTCCTCACTTCCAGGCTGCATCTGCTTCCTCCATCCCATGCTGGGAGGGTAAAGATAGACAACCCCTGTGCTGGTCCCTGGGGAGGGAGGGACAGCTGGGGAGTCATCAAGTCCAGCCCCCTGATCCTAAAGGTTGCTCAAGCTTTCAGGGCTGGGAGCGCATCTAGAAGCACCGTGAGGGTGGCTCAGCTTTCCCTGAGGGCTGTCAGGAGCCCAAGCCCCCCACCTAGGGGTCACCCAGTCCTGACTCCCCTGGGGCTGTGCCCTTGCAGACCTGGACGAGCCGGTGCTGACGGTGCACCAGACAGTGAGCGACGTCCGGGGCAACTTCTACCAGGAGAAGACGGTGTTCCTGCGCTGCACCGTCAACTCCAACCCGCCAGCCCGCTTCATCTGGAAGCGCGGCTCCGACACCCTGTCCCACAGCCAGGACAACGGCGTGGACATCTATGAGCCCCTCTACACCCAGGTCAGGATGGGCAGTAGCTGGCCTGGTCTCCTCGTGGCTCACCCTGCACTTCCTCCTGCACCCAACCAGGGAAGGGACACGGGGGGTTGAAGCCTCACCGTCTGCAGGTCTTCATGCCCTGGCTGAAGCAGCATGTTCTGACATCAGACACTCTGGGGCAGATGAGACGGGACGAAAAGCTCAGGGAACAGTGATGGGGACAGGAGTGTCCTCAGGGCAACAAGTCCTTCTGGAACATTGCCAGTTAGGAAAGATACCCCCTAGAGCAGCGGTTCTCAACCTGTGGGTCGTGACCCCTTTGGGGGTCGAACGACCCTTTCACAGGAGTCACCTAAGACCATCGGAAAACACATATATAATTACATGTTGTTTTGTGATTAATCGCTATGCTTTAATTATGTTCAATTTGTAACAATGAAATTGGGGGTCACCACAACATGAGGAACTGTACTAAAGGGTCGCGGCCTTAGGAAGGTTGAGAACCGCTGCCCTAGAGGGAGGCGAGTCACCCCTGCCCGCTGCTGGCTGTCAGAGTATTGGAACCCCCTGGGCAGACGCAGCAGGAGTTGGGGGCAGAGAGATGACTCCACTTCCCATAGGCCCCCTAGGGTCCCAAGAAATGGTGATGAAGCATTCCTACCAGGGAGGGCTTTCAAAGGCGGCTTTCGGAGGTGGCTGCCAGAGTGCCACATGTGGCCTTGGCCTTTGGGATTAGGTCCATATTCGTGAGAGCAGGGTTCCCTCCCTACCCCTCCATTTCCCAAAGTGGAGAAACGGAGGCCGGGTCCTGGCCAGTGTGCACCAGGGCAGTCTCAGACCCAGAGAAACCCAAGGTTTGGGGAGTGCAGCATCCCCCCCCAGACTCAGGCTCCCTGGGGATAAATGGTGTGGAGATGGGGGAAGATAGGCATTTACTTCAGCCCCTGGTGCTGGATAATGTGTGAGGGACCCCTGGAGACCCGAGCAGACCCCTCACACCAGTGGTCCACTGCTGCCCAGGGGGAGACCAAGGTCCTGAAGCTGAAGAACCTTCGGCCCCAGGATTACGCCAGCTACACCTGCCAGGTGTCTGTACGCAACGTGTGTGGCATCCCGGACAAGGCCATCACTTTCCGCCTCACCAACACCACGGGTACAGGCACTCCCCCGCCCATACCCTTGCCCACCTGAGCTGACTGCCCACCCAGGAGACAGTGCCCCACCCCATACAGGACTCTAGGCACATCACCACCAGTGCATCCCTGCTCCCCTCTGCCGGCTCCCTGCCTTCTCCCCTTTCTTCTCCCCATCCTTCCCCAACCCCATGGTTTTCCTAGCTCCTATATCCCCACATTCAGCCCTGCCTCCCACCCCCATAAGACCCCACCTCTTTGTCCTCTCAGCACCACCAGCCCTGAAGCTGTCTGTGAATGAAACTCTGGTGGTGAACCCTGGGGAGAATGTGACGGTGCAGTGTCTGCTGACAGGCGGCGATCCCCTACCCCAGCTGCAGTGGTCCCATGGGCCGGGCCCGCTGCCCTTGGGGGCTCTGGCCCAGGGTGGCATCCTCAGCATCCCTTCAGTGCAGGCCCTGGACTCTGGCTACTACAACTGCACAGCCACCAACAATGTGGGCAACCCCGCCAAGAAGACCGTCAACCTGCTGGTGCGATGTACGTGGCTCCGGAGGGGGACCGGGGGGGACTCAGAGGCAGACAGGGTCCCTGTCTTCCAGGAATGACCGAGGAAGTGGGAGAGGGGCCTGCCTGCTTCCTCTTGGTAGGTGATATATGCTGAGAAGGCATGTTCCAGGCACTTTTATTTCCCTGCAGATGGCAGGATTAAATTTTTTTTAAATAATATTTTATTGATTTTGTACAGAGAGGAAGGGAGAGGGATAGAGAGTTAGAAACATCGATGAGAGAGAAACATCGATCAGCTGCCTCCTGCACACCTCCTACTGGGGATGTGCCCGCAACCCAGGTACATGCCCTTGACCGGAATCGAACCTGGGACCTTTCAGTGTGTAGGCCGACGCTCTATCCACTGAGCCAAACCAGCCACGGCATGGATTAAATTTGGTGTAAAGTTTTATTTACAATTGACAATCTACATTTCCAAATATAAACTCAACAATCCAAGAGGTAGGGAGGACTGGTATTGAGTACCTACATTTTTTTTTTTTAAGATTGGGAAACAGGTTGCAAAAAGCTAAGTATGGACTTCCACTCTTCAGGAGAAATTTCCTGGCTTTCTTTTTGTACACTGGTTTCCACATGATTCACTGAGCTAAAGTGAAAATAACACATTTCCACATACCTCATGTGTAAATATTTGCTAGCAAAGCATTTCAGTGAGTCTGAAGATAATTAGTAAATGTAAAAATGATACAAAACTTGGAGTATGATCTAAAGAAGTACAAACATGTTCCTTACTAAACCTCAGCCTTAGTAGTTAGCATTAGCTGCTTGATATGATCTTGATTTTGCTACTCTGCTTCAAGGGGAAAACTTTAAATTCTTCTTGTGTAGCTTTAGGTTATTTGTTTATTTTATGTTTTTTAAAAGACACAGCTGTTACCAACTCTTTAGCACTTAAAAGTAAAACATAGCGTCTGCCAAATTTGACTCAGAGTCTTCTGAAGAGACAAACACTTTTTGTTGTTGATCTTTCACCGACCACTCTCTGACTCTCCTCATAAGAAGTTAACCCTTTGTTACTTTTTACTTAATCAGAGCAAGAAAGAAAGCAGCAAGACTGTGACTGTCTGATGACTGTTTTCTGCTTTGATGGTACTTTTCCCATCAGAAGATTCTTCTTCTCCACCTGTTTTCATTTGGCCTTTAAAACCTGAGTTGATGAGGTCTCAGTTTACATCCAATACATACTTACGGTCACTTCTTTTTTAAAAAATATATTTGTATTGATTTCAGAGAGGAAGGGAGAGGGGGAGAGAGAGAGGAACATCAATGATTGAGCCCACAACCCAGGTGTATTCTCTGAGTGAGAAGCAAACAATGACTTCCTGGCCAGGCTCTTACGGTCACTTCCTTGGGGACATACAGCTTGCTTTGTCCAACCCAGCAAAGGATGTGGCTGTGGTATCAGTGTCCTGTCCAATTAGCATCCAATATTAAGAGTCATGTCTAACTCTTGCATCACATCAAGCAATATTTAGATTTTAAAAGAGGTCAGACCCTTTACTTTGTAAACTCTGAGCTTTAATGTAACTGCATGTAAAATTATTGTATTGGGCTCTTACTATAACAATCACAATAACTTGCTGAAAAGAGTTAAATAGCACCAAAGAGTAAAATGTACAGATTAAAATTTCCCCTCAGTTTCCCTCAGTCCCACTGTCTATAGAACCACTATTGCATTCTGTTGCATCCTTACAGAATTTGTATTTTGTTCATTCAAGGTTTAAAACAATACAAATAAAGTAGCGTAGTGGTTACGAGCACAGGTTCGGAATTAAACTCTCTGAGCGTCGGTTCCCTCCTTGTAAAACAGGGACGATAAAGTGCCTCCCTCACAGAGCGGGGGATGAGTTAAATGAGTCAACCTGTGTAAAGTGCGTGGAACAGTGCCTCTCACCAAGTGTGTGTTCAGTAACAGTGACTCTAATGATCACTAAACCCACTTCTCTGCAGCGAGCTTTTTTAAACTCTTAAAAACACACTTGAACAAGTAGAACAATTTCCAAGCAAAAGGATGGTTTCTGGTGGCGGTGGCGGTGGTGGGAGGGTGTAGCTCCCAACCTGCAGGAGGGCCACTGTGAGGGGAGGAGCTGGGTCTGGGGAGGGGTGGGACATGACCCTGGCTTTGGGCCAGCCCCAGCCAACCTGCCCTCCCCACCCACCTGTAGCCATGAAGAACGCCACATTCCAGATCACCCCAGACGTGATCAAAGAAAGTGAGAACATACAGCTGGGCCAGGACCTGAAGCTCTCGTGCCACGTGGATGCGGTGCCCCAGGAGAAGGTGACCTATCAGTGGTTCAAGAACGGCAAGCCGGCACGCATGTCCAAGCGGCTGCTGGTGACCCGAAACGACCCTGAGTTGCCTGCGGTCACAAGCAGCCTAGAGCTCATTGACCTGCACTTCAGCGACTATGGCACCTACCTGTGTGTGGCTTCCTTCCCAGGAGCACCTGTACCCGACCTGAGTGTTGAAGTCAACATCTCCTCTGAGACAGGTGGGCGGCTGGAGGGGCAGCGGGAGGTGTGAGGGAGCTGGAGAGGCCCACAGAGGGGAGAGGGGCAGGGGGTGGGGGGGCAGCAGTTTGGGAAAGGGAGGCCAGAGTGGAAAGACTCCGTTTGTTCATGCCATACACATTTATCAAGCACCTATTCTATGCCAGGCACCGTGGTAGGTGCTGGGTTAGAGTGGTGGGCAAAATAGACTCTGCCCTCATTGAACTAAGTAGGAAGGCAAACGTTTTCCAGATAGTCTCACAGATGAATACGCCACGGCAAACTGTGATGCCTGAGACAGGAAAGAGTTCGCTAAGATAAAATCTTTGGTCTGCGATCTGAGGAGGGAGGGGTGGGATTTTACGAGGCAAAGGAGAGCAAGGGAGGGTGGAAGAGAAAGGCAGGTCAAGGAATCAGCAAATAAGGGCACTGAGGCAGGGCAGGGTGGGGGCTGTTTGGAGAACTGAAGCAAGGACAGCGTGGCTGGGGGGATGGGGTGAATGAGAGCACAGAGGCCAGCGGGGGCCAGGTTATGCAGGGGATGTGGGTCTCTGTTCCAATAACAATAAATAACAATAATGAAATAATAATGGCTAACGTTTATTGAGTACTTCCTATGTGTTCCAATGATTTTTATATTTATCTTATTCGCCTTCATGATTTACCTTATGGGATAGATCATTTAACTTCAGTTTTTAGAGACGAAGAAACAGGCTCAGAGGGTTTAAGAAGCTTACCTAAGACGTCCTGGCTGGGTGGCTCCGTTGTTTGGCCTGTTGTCCTGTCCACCAAAGGGTTAAGGATTCAATTCCTGGTCAGGGCACACACTTAGGTTGCTGGTCTGATCCCTGGTCAGTGCATATACGGGAGCTAACTGATAGTTGTTTCTCTCTCACATCGATGTTTCTCTCTCCCTTCTCTATAAACATATCCTCAGATGAGGACTAAAAAAAATTAAAAAAAAAAAAAACTTACCTAAGGCAACATAAGGTAACACGGCAGTCAGTGGTGGAGCTGAGATTTGAACCCAGACCATTTGCCTTCAGAGCCTGAAGGGTCTACCCTTTGAGAATGACAGGAGCTGGAGGGGATGGCTCTGGAGGGGGTTTCTGGAATCTCCTTTCCAGTCCGCAGCACATTGCACCGAGGAGCTGGCTGACTCGGCGAAGCCTCTTTCACTCCCTGGGTCTCAGTTTCTCCTCTGTGAGCCATCGGACGAGATAGCCTTGGTGGCCCTTCCTTCTTGACATCCGCACAGGGGGCGGGTCAGGAAAGGCTTCTGAGCGGGCCTTTATGAATGGGCCAGGCCTCCACAGACTCCGCAAACTTATTTCACCAATCATTGTGTGCCGGCCCTGGGTGGGGAGCTGGGGAGCTGGGGACCCAGACACAAACGCCACAGCCCGTCTCAGAGCCCGCTGCCCAGCTGGGAGAGGCATCTGTTGGGGTAAAGCAGGAATTGGAAGGGCAAACCTTAGAAAGGCAGCTAAAGGCAGGGTCTGCAGAGCATCCTGGGGACATGCGAGAAGGAGTCCCAGGCGGCCAGGGAGGAGCCATGCTCCATGTGAACATTGCTGGGGGGGAGCGGGGGAGGGCAAGCCCAAGAGAGGAGGGATGGGGAACCCCCATGGGGTATGAGACTTGGCTTGTCAGGGAGTATATTCCTTACAAGTGGGTCCCACGGCTGGGACACAGGAAAGGAGAGGGGAGATGAGGCTGGGGTGGCAAAGGCCAGAGCACAAGGGCCTCCCTTACAGAGCCAAGGAGTTTGAGCTTTAACCTGAGGGCAGTGCAGCCTCAAAGGGGGAAGGACTGTGGGGTGAAGAAGTGTTGGGAGCTGGGATGTTTTATAAATGGAAACCAATGGAGCACAGGGCCATTTTTTCCCTTTGGTTCATAAGCCTAATTAAGGCATGGAAGCTTATTATTATTATTTTTTTAATCCTCACCCGAGGCTATGCTTTTTCACTGATTTTAGAGAGAGAAGAAGGGAGAGGGAGAGAGAGAAACATTGATTGGTTGTCTCCTGTATGCACCCCTACAGGGTATTGAGCCAGAAACCTGGGTATGTGCTCTCACTGGGAATTGAAGGAGACCTTTTGGGACAACCCTCCAACCAGCTGAGCCACCCAGCCAGGGCAAGGCATGGAAGCTTTTTAAGGGCCTGTGGAAACGGTTTAGACCTGGAAAAATAAATTAATTGGCGCCAAAATACAAAGGGAAAGCTGCAAAATTAAAGCCAGTAAATGTATACATGTTTATAGAGTATAAATTATGCTAACTAGATAACCGGATCTCAGCATGCCTTGTAGAGTTATTTGCAATTTACATTTAATGTAGGACATTTTAATTCGTTTGATGTGATGCAGGATGGGACCCATGGAACCCTTAAAAAGACCCTCCATTTGGGCATTATGCTGGGTTGGATTAGGTTTGGCTGTGAATAACAGGAAAACTCTTAATAAAAGTGGCTCAAATAAGTTAGCGGTGTATTTCTTTCTTCAAGCAAAAGTGAGCAGTCCAGGCTGGAATAGTGGCTCTGCTGCACCAAGTCCCCGGGGCCCCACAAACCGTCCTGTCTTGCTGTTCCGTTTTCCTTAGCACGCGCCTCCCGCCTCCTCCATGGTGGCAGCTCCAGCTGCAGCCTCCAGCCTGCATTCCAGCATGCAGACAGGAGGAGAAGCGTGGCAGGACTTCTCTTTGTTAGAGACACTTGCCTTCCGTCACATCCCGCTGGCCAGAATGTAGGCTCATGGTAGCCACAGGCAGGCTGGGAGATACAGTGTTTATTCTGGCCCTGGTCCTGCTATAACCCAGATGTTGGGGCTACAGACTAGCAATCTGTGGTAACACTTCAGAAAGAAGGTGGTGGCTTTAACTAGAGCAGGACCAGCGGCCAGGAGAGGGGAGATTGAGGGAGGAGATGTTGCTAGAATTGTTTAAAAGGTGGAATCCCCAAACGGAGTGATGGTGGGGTAAGGGAAAAGAAGGAATAGGCGGGGACGATTTAGCTCTTTTTCTGAGTTGGGAGAGACTCAGTAGAGACAGGGAGATGGGAGGATTTGTGGAGGTGAGTATTGCTGGGGAATAACTGAGATCTGGGGGACCGTGGGATGGGGAAGGGAGGGTGGCACCTAGGGAGAGGGAAGCAGAAGCCCCAGAGCGGAGGCCACGGGGTACCAGCCTCTAACCCGCCCCTCCACCCTCCAGTGCCTCCCACCATCAGCGTGCCCAAAGGCAGGGCCATCGTGACCGTGCGCGAGGGCTCGCCTGCCGAGCTGCAGTGCGAGGTGCGGGGCAAGCCGCGGCCGCCCGTGCTCTGGTCCCGCGTGGACAAGGAGGCTGCTCTGCTGCCCTCGGGGCTGCCCGTGGAGGAGACCCCGGACGGGAAGCTGCGGCTGGAGCGCGTGAGCCGCGACATGAGTGGGACCTACCGCTGCCAGACGGCTCGCTACAATGGCTTCAACGTGCGCCCCCGCGAGGCCCAGGTGCAGCTGAACGTGCAGTGTGAGTCCCACTGTCCCACAGGTCCCTCCCGAGCTGTCCCTCCTGTTCTCGCCAGGCCTGTCCCCTCTTTACCTCTCCACCCACCCAGTCCCCCAACGCCTCCACCTACTCTGCTACCCCTAAACCCTCCACACCTTGACACATTTTTACAAATAGGAAACCAAGTGACAGAGAGCTTACGTCCCTAGAGGGAGTTCTCACAGCTCATCAGAGGGGGGGCGGGGCTGGGATGTGAGCCCAGGCCATCCGGCTCCAGGGTCCAGGCTCCGAACCCCGGCCTGACCCTGCTCCTCATTGCATGGGGATGAGGGTCCATGTGAGGCATGAACAGCACCTCAGTGCGGGACGCGTGGCGGCCAGGAGGGCGTGGGCATCTGCAGGCGGGGAGATACGAGCGTGGTTATTGCATAAGTGTGTAGCGAACGTGTGTCCGCCCGAGACCCTCCCAGGCTGCGGGCCCCGGAGTAGGGCCGAGTGCCGTGCCTTCCCCAGGGGCCGCCCCTCGGCCCCACCTCGGCCACGCTGACCGCGGCCCCCGCCTCCACCCCCAGTCCCGCCGGAGGTGGAGCCCAGCTCCCAAGACGTGCGCCAGGCCCTGGGCCGGCCGGTGCTCCTGCGCTGCTCGCTCCTCCGAGGCAGCCCCCAGCGCATCGCCTCGGCCGTGTGGCGCTTCAAAGGGCAGCTGCTGCCTCCGCCGCCCGCCGCCGCCCCCGTCGCCGGCGAGGCCTCCGACCACTCCGAGCTGCGCCTCGACGCCGTCACCCGCGACAGCAGCGGCAGCTACGAGTGCAGCGTCTCCAACGACGTGGGCTCGGCGGTCTGCCTCTTCCAGGTCTCCGGTGAGCGCCCCGCAGGTCCCGCCCCCCCAGCCCTGCCCGCCCCGCCGCATCCCTGCCTCCCTGCACCTAGCCTGGGCCCCGCCTTTCCAAGACCCGCCCCTGCCCGGCCTAGGCCCCGCCCACCTCCCCGAATCCAGCAGGACCTCCTCCTACAGGCCTGCCCCCAACTCACGCCCACGCTTGGGCGGGGCCTTCCCCTTTCAGACCCCGCCCATGCCTGTTGGGAGCCCCGCCTGTTTCAGCTCAGCGCCGGCCTTGGACCCTGACAGCCCCGCCCTTTCAGGCCCCGCCCCCTCAGACCCTCCGTGGCCACGCCCACCCCACCCAGCGGACCCCAGGTCCCGGCCCTAGGCTCCACCTACATAGGACATAGACCCCACCCCTTCCAACCTCGTCCAGTCTCCGCTCCCCTTTCCTGTTGTGTCCGAAGGTGCGTCCAGCCCCGCCCACCCCCGATTTAGACCCACCCATCGGGCCCTGCCCCTGCCCCCTCCCCTCCCCCCCAACAGCTCAGGCTTTAGGGTTCAAGCTCCCCTTGAGGGGGTCCAGAGCCAGCTCGTGTGGGGTTTGGAGATGCTCAGGCTGCCAGAGTCTGGGGGGAAATGGCTCCAGCAGGATGAGGTGGGGTCACCAGGGGATGGAGGAAACAGCTAAGAGGTCGCTTGTACCGAGTGTCTGCCAGGTGCCACGTGACATCCCGGGTGCTCTGCATCTGTGGTCTCATCGTCCCTCACAAACACCCGGGGAGGGAGGCGCCTGCGAGGTTAAGCATCCACACAGCAGCTTGAACCTCCTCAGGGAGGTTGGGCTGGGGGTGGGGGTGGGGAACCTACTCTCTTCCTGACTGCAAGCCCAAAGCGAGGGCCTGAGCTGTAGCTAAGGGGGAGAAGCCGCCCCTCACGGTGTCCCTAGAACCTCGTGAGTGGTGGAGGCAGCCCGCTCACCCTTCCTGAGCGACCACCCCAGCGTTCCCGGCCCCTGGGAGCCCAGACATCCCTCCCTCTCAGCCCCACCTCCTCGTCTCCATTCCTGGGTGGGCTGACCGGGGTGCTGACGCGAGTGGGAGGGTCAGAGAGGGGTGGAGGTCTTGGTGAGGGGCCAGGGGAACCCAAAGGGCCTGGCACGGTTGCCCACCCTGTCTCTCTCCTCCGCTGGGGAGTACTGATTCCCTGTCAGAGCTGGGAGCAGTGCGGCGAACCCCAGGAAGCCTGTCCCCCCTCCCACCGCACTCCCAGCTCTCCCAGCAGCCCAGACTGGCTGGGTGCCCCTGTAGCTCTTGTTTGGATCCCCTCACGCAATGACAGGGGGCTGACACCGCAGGCCACTGGCCACTTCCCCAGCTCCCCAGCCCCCCAGCCAGAGGCCCCTGTGACATTTCCCACCTCCTCCCCTCTCCCCTGTTCTCCCACACTTTCCCTGTCTCCCCACCGTTTGCCTGTCTCTCTCCTGTGTCTTCTCTTCCTTCTACCTCCATGCCTTGGCCCTTCTCTTCCCATCTTTCCCTGCAATCCTCTTCCCTGTGCCTTCTCTAATCGCTGCTCTGTCTTTATCTTGGCCTTGCCACTGCATTCTCACCAACTCTTGGAAAATTCAATCTCCCTTTTCTCCATCTCCCACCTTCCCTCCGACCCACCCTCATCCTCCCCAAACCCCTTTCCCCTCATCTCGTCTCCTCACAATATTCTCTTTCTCTCCCCATCTCATCTCTCTGTCCCACCCTGTCCTGTCTCCCCCTCCCATGCCTCCTCCCTTTTCTCTCCCTATTCCCCACCCTCCATGGCCCCATGCCCCCCTCCCCGCCCTCTTAGCCAAAGCCTACAGCCCGGAGTTTTACTTCGACACCCCCAACCCCACCCGCAGCCACAAGCTGTCCAAGAACTACTCCTACGTGCTGCAGTGGACCCAGAGGGAACCTGACGCCGTCGACCCCGTGCTCAACTACAGGCTCAGTGTCCGCCAGGTGGGCCAAGGGGTTGGGGGCCCCCCGGGGTCAGCTGACCCTGAGGTGCTCATGGAGCCCAGGAGAGGGGGTGGAGATGGGGCTGGGCCACACCGACCCTTCTTACAGACAAGCCTTCAGTGCCAGGGAGGAAGTGTTCTGCACACAGCAGCGGAGCTGGAGGTGCTGGGGACTGACCCCCCACTCTGCACCCACACTCTGGGCACAGCCCTGAGACCTGGGCAGGGGTCCATGGAGGGGGAGGGGGCAGAGCCAGGTCTGCTCACGAAACTCAGACTTTATTCTTACATCAGAAGCTTACGGTAAAATTACAACATTCTACCTCATAGGATCATTTTGAGGATTAGGTAAGGTATTTAGTGCCTCACACACATTAAAGTGTTCAATATGTGTTGCTATTATTTGTTATTAAGCCGGCCCTGAGAGGTGGGCTTGAAGGGTGAGTGCCCCGTTCCCCAGATGAGGGATCTGAGGGCCTGGCTTCCTAGTCCTTTGCTCTTTCTACTCCTTGACCCTGACCCCCAAAGTCACACCAGGGCCTGGGCTGGTGCTCTGGTGGCGGACACGGCCTGCCTAGCATGGGAACTCCCTGTACCTGCAGTTGAACCAGCACAGCGCCATGGTGAAGGCCATCCCCGTGAGGCGTGTGGAGAAGGGGCAGCTGCTGGAGTACATGCTGACCGACCTCCGCGTGCCCCACAGCTACGAGGTCCGCCTCACACCCTACACCACCTATGGGGCCGGTGACATGGCTTCCCGCATCATCCACTACACAGAGCGTAGGTGGTGGTGGTGGGAGTGGGAAGGGCGGGTCCATCTGGTGTCCAGGGGATCCCCTCCCCCCTTCCCACACGGTCCCTGAGCGTGGGTCCCACCACTGTGCTGTGTCCTGCTCTGTCACTGAGGCCAGGCCCCTCTGGCTCCCAGTCCTGGCCCCAGGGACCCTGCCCCTGGTCCAAAGCTCGGGCCCCTCTGCACAGCCCCTCTCGGTTCTGACTTGGCTATCTTGCTTGCTTTCTCAGCTATCAACTCTCCCAGTCTGTCAGGTGAGACACTCCCACCCACTTTTCCTTCTTAGGGACACAAAAGCACCCCTGGTGGGAGGAAGGGACCCGAAGAAATACTCGGAGAGAACATGGGATGGAGGCCAGCGGCTGGAAGGAGAAGCAGAAGGGAGTAGGGCTGGGCTTGGACATGTTTGCATCCAGGGTTTATTCTGGGCCTTAAAGGAGGAGGACAAGGGTGGGGCTGGGGAACACCTCTAACTCAGGACCTTCCTCCTCACTGTCCCCAAAAGAAAGTCCAGGCTCACCCGTGTCCCCTGTTCTCTGGAGCAGGTGTCCTTCACCTGAGATCCATGGACCCCCAAAGGATCTGTGTACAGAATTTAGGGGGGTCTGTGGATCCAGAGCCTGGACGGGCACACACTCCTTTATTTTCCCCAACTTCTAGCGGAAATGTAACGTCTCCTTCGATGGGGAATGTAGGCAGCCAAGCACAGTAGTGTGGGCGCTACCTGGGACTGTCCCCAGAAGTCTGAGGTTTGCACATCTATCACCTCAAGTTGCAGCCCTCTCTCCATATCAGTTACATCCAGTAGCCTTTCAAAACCATGGTAGTTACCAGACCGAACACCAGATCTCCTGATTTAATTAGACAATGAAGAAGCCCACTTATTGTAACACAAGTTTGTTTAGAAACATGTGACAACTTGCAGTATAACTGATTTCCTGTGCAACCCTTTGTATTTCACTTTGTGCATCTAAAAGTGTTACTCCAAGATGGGGTCCTTGGACTGCACTAGCTGCCAGGAGGTCTGTGGTGCATAACAGGTGAAGGAGTCCTGATCTGGGCACAGTTAGCCAGGGGCCCTGTTGCCTGGTTTCTCAAGCCTCGGGATCCTGGGCCCACTGCTGGGGAGCTGCCCGGGGGTGGCAGGGAGGCAGAGCCGGACCAGAGGGCCCCCGGAGGCCGACCCTCTGTGTCTCACCCCCACTCCCCGCCCCGTGCAGACAACACCTGCCACTTTGAGGATGAGAAGATCTGTGGCTACACCCAGGACCTGACAGACAACTTTGACTGGACTCGGCAGAACGCCCTAACCCAGAACCCCAAGCGCTCTCCCAATACCGGTCCCCCCACTGACGTCAGCGGCACCCCTGAGGGTGAGGACATGGCCTATTGCTAGGAATGAGGACTGTGTCAGGGGTCTGGCCTCTGGGAGCCCAGTCTAATGGGGGAGACACAGCCCTGCCCTCAGGGAGCCCCAATCTGGGGGTGGGGGGAACACAGCCCTGTCCTCAGGGAGCCCCAGTCTGAGGGGGCACCCAGCCCTGTCCTCAGGGAGCCCCAGTCTGAGGGGGCACCCAGCCTTGTCCTGAGGAGGCCCCCATCTGAGGGAGACACAGCCTGTCCGCATGGAGGATCAGGAGGAAGAGCCTCAGCAAGGCTAAGGACTGGTGCAGGCTGGCCTAGACCCTGTGCTGAGAGGCTGGGAGGGCGGGTGGGCTGGGCAAGGCCCCTGGTGTCCGTAGCTGAGACCACGGCAGAGAAGGAATCGGGAGGTGAGGGGCCTGGGTGGGGTGAAGAAGAGGCTGTTGGCATCTCCCCTACCCGACAGGCTACTACATGTTCATTGAGACTTCGAGGCCCCGGGAGCTGGGGGACCGGGCGCGGTTGGTGAGTCCCCTGTACAACGCCAGCGCCAAGTTCTACTGCGTCTCCTTCTTCTACCACATGTACGGGAAGCACATCGGTGAGTCAGGAGACCAGGAGTCTGCCCCTGCATGTTGGGGCTGGGGGCGGAGAGGGGGTCCCCAGGAGGCTAGGAACTGCCACATGGGGCCTGGCTTTCCCAACGTGGATGAATCCCAGATTCTTAGAGGGTGGTGGGCAGAATCTGCGCAAATGGGGGTCCAGAGCCAGCTCGTGTGGGGTTTGGAGATGCTCAGGCTGCCAGAGTCTGGGGGGAAATGGCTCCAGCAGGATGAGGTGGGGTCACCAGGGGATGGAGGAAACAGCTAAGAGGTCGCTTGTACCGAGTGTCTGCCAGGTGCCACGTGACATCCCGGGTGCTCTGCATCTGTGGTCTCATCGTCCCTCACAAACACCCGGGGAGGGAGGCGCCTGCGAGGTTAAGCATCCACACAGCAGCCCAAACCTGCCTGACTCCCTCAGACCCCAAACACAGAGCTGGGAGGGTGCTTCTTTGTGAGCCCTGAGAGGAAGTCCTGATGTGGGTGTGACCTGAGAGTCCCTTAGGGAGAGGTGGCACCGGCAGGAGTGGCACATGAACCGCTGAGCTCGTCTGCACAGCTTGGCCGCAGAGCGCGGCTCTGTGCCGGCCCCAGGAGCTGCAGTGACCGCATGGACACGCTTCCCGTTCTCTCGGCACCACAGTCAGGTCAGAGAGACAGACACCGAGCAGCTCACTGCGCCAGATGCAGTTTAGTGGCCACTGTGGCACGTGTCCGCAGCAGAAGGACAGGGCCAAGGCCGCTGGTGCTGGGGGCCGACTAGGGCCTGGTTATAGAAGACTGAGGAATTGACAACGTAAAGAATTTCATGTGTTTGCTTGTTTCCTTACTTATGGGAGAGGTAACATATTCTCTATGGGTCAAAAGGCACAAAAGGTGCATGATGAGAGTCCCTGCATCCCAGTCCTTCTGCCCCCTGTAGCCCCACCCCAAAGGCAATCATTGTCCTAGATTTTTGGGGAAATTCCTAGGGATACTGTATGCATATAGAAGCAGTACACATCTACCCCCATCCCCTAACCCCCAATTTTACACTGAGCCTTGTTTTCCCTCTGAACTGTGCGTTGCAGTGGCCATGCCTCGCCAGGCCACAGAACACTTAGTTGTTCTCCAAGGCTGCCCAGTAGAGGAGAGACTTTAAGCAAGTGTAGACCTAAAGGCTCACCATGGAGGAGTCTGCACAGCCCACGTAATGGGTCAGGCTGAACGGGTGAACTGGAATGGGATGGGGTGGAGGGACCTCGTACCCTGGGCCCCAGACCATCCGCACAGACCAGTTTGCCCCTGGCTGGCTCTGGGGTAGGTGCGGGGGGACTGACCAAGGCTGCCTGCTCTGCCCTAGGTGTGTGTGTTGCGGGGGGGGGGGGGGGGGGGGAGTGACCAGGGCTGCTCTGCCCGGCCCTCTGTTTCCATTTGCTTCCCAGCTCGAGTAACCAATGAAACCAACTCTGCTTTGCCCAAGTCTTTCCCAGTTTTATAGTGAAAATCCCACATCCCAGGCAAACTCAGAGAGTTGGTCATTTTATCCCCAACTCAGGAGGGGCCTGGGACCCAGCTGCCAAGAGGAGGAGCATGCTGGGTGCAGTGGGGCCCCGGGAAACCAGGCCTTGGGAGCTGGGATGTCAGGTGTGTGGGCTCCAGAACTTGTCCGTGTTCCCCAGGGCGTGGAACGAGCTGTTAGGGGAAGCCTCTGGGGGCAGATTTGATTCTAGCTGAAAGGACCCTGTAAGCGTCAGATGTGCCCAGAAGAGGGGTCTGTCCTGTCCCTGGACAGGAAGACTGTCCGCGGGGTTGCTGTGGAGGGGACCCCTGTCCGTCCATGCGACTCTCCGGCTCTGTCCCCTCCCCTCCATCTTCCACAGGCCTCCCATACCTGACTGGACCCTGCCTGCTTCTCTGGCCTCATTTTCTCCTGCTCTTCCTCTGGCGACCACGTGGGCTGAGCACACGGGTCTCCTTGCATTTCTTTAAATATTCAAGGCAGGTTCCTCCTGCCTTAGAAGCCTTTGCTTATGATGTCCCTCTGGCCTGGAACCTTCTTCCTGTCCCCTCATGCAGGCTTCCTCAGAGAGGTCCCTGGCAGCCCTGAATTATTTTCTGTCCAGTGCTTGTCACCAAGAGAGCGCGCCCGGCAGGGTCCTTGTCTTACGGACGTATCTCTGGTGCCTAGAATAGTGCCTGGAACATTGTGGCGCTCGATTAGTTGAGTGAATGATAAGCCCCGAGGTAACTGGAATCCTGAGCTCCCATGGACGCCCTCTTTCATTCCTGATGACAGTTGTGAAAAATTCTCACATTTAATTCCTGAGAACCAATAGCAATTGGATGCAGACTTTCCCTCAAGGAGTCGCAGGAAAGAGCAGATGGGACTCCCCATAACTGCCACGCCCCTGCGGAGAGCGGGCGGGGCCTGGGGGCTGCAGCTGATGGGGGGCTCAGGGAAGGGGGCAGAAATTCAATTTTTGTTTGTACAGTGAAAAGTGGGGTTCCCCTATCAGTGTCCTTGGGACAGGGTGGTGCAGGAGGAAGAAAAGGTATGAATGAGGCTGGACCCCAAGTGGGATAGGAACAGGGGGAGATCTCCAGGAAGGGGGAGAGAAAGAGGTCCCTTCGGGGCTGGTGGGGAGCCCGGAAGGCACTGGGGCTTGAGCCTGCTGGAGTCAGTGTGGCACCCCCTGGCCACTGGGTGCTGGTGGCAGCCCTCTCGTGGCCCCATCTGCTGGCGAGGGTCCCCTGCCCAGGCCTGTATCTGCTGCTGGGGAAAGGGGCATTTCTTGCTGTCCCGGTCCCTCCTTTGCCCTCCCCCCCACTCTACCTGGCAGCTCAGGCACCAGCTGTCCCCAGACCTTGTGTTTCGAGGGCTCTTTTTGGTCCAAGCCAAGTCCTTTCATCTCAGCAGGTAACATTTGGTGGCTCTCCCCCACAGGGGGTCTGTCTGTCTGGTGTCACAGATGGTGTGGCTTTGTCTGTGGGCAGCTATGCCAGCCACCCTGCACCGCCTGCGTCCATTCCTCTTCCCTCTGAGCCGGGTCTTTTATGTCCCTCTGAGCCGGGGGCTCAGGGTAGGCTGGGAGAGCCGGGGGCTCAGGGTAGGCTGGGAGAGCCAGGGAGGGGCGCCCCATGGCCTGGGTGTTCTTAGCTAATCCATGGGCCTCCCCTGTCCCCCAGCGCCTCCAGAACTCCAGGCCTGCGGCTGTGGGCAGATGGACTCAGTACCCACAGATTGTGCCTCCAAAACTTTACATTCACTCTTCACCACAGCTGTGTGGCATAACTATTAGTCTCTCTTTCGACCAACTCATTGCCTTTATCTTAGCACGATTACTATTAGAGAAATCGTGGATTCGAAGGGTTAGCTTTATTCACCTCTTAAAACATATAAAAGTATTAAAATTGTAGTTGGTTGCTGTACCTCCAGAAATCATCCCACGTATCGTGGGTGTGCGTTGTGTGTTTTGGAATCCTGCTGTGAGCGCAGACGTGGACCCATCATCCTGGGACCAGTTCCCTGTCGAGAGGGCAGAAGGGTGTGTGTGTGTGTGTGTGTTGGGGGCGGGGGGTTAGCTGATCAGGAAGGAAGGGGAGAAATGAAAGAAAATTTGCAGGTTGCCCTGATGAACGGCACTCTTCCCTGTTAGCCCCGCCACCCCGGCAGGGAGAACGGACACCGAACCAGTCTGTGACGAGAGAAAGGCCCATCCGACAGGGGCCATGCTGCGGGCAGTGGTGGGGGCGGAGGGTGCCCTTGTCCAGACCTCACTGGCCCCCTCTCTTCACGTCCACCACAGGCTCCCTCAACCTCCTGGTCCGGTCTCGGAACAAAGGAGCCCTGGACACGCACGCGTGGTCCCTCAGTGGCAATAAGGGCAACGTGTGGCAGCAGGCCCACGTGCCCATCAACCCCAGTGGGCCCTTCCAGGTGAGTCTGCCGGCCCAAGCCCCTCACAGGCACTCCCAGCCCCTGGACGGGTGCTCTGGGCGGGAATCACTTCGGAAGGCCCGTGTTGTTCCTGGGAGTCCTGGGAGCTGATGCGGAAAGCAGCAGGGTGTGGGGATGCGGGGGGCGGGCAGTCTGTCTTGCAGAACCTCCCTAACCTCTGCTCCCTGCTCTCTGACCCCACCCCAGATTATTTTTGAGGGGGTTCGAGGCTCAGGCTACCTGGGAGATATCGCCATAGACGATGTCACACTGAAGAAGGGAGAGTGTCCCCGGAAGCAGATAGATCCCAATAAAGGTGATGATTGAAAGGGGGATGAGTCTGGGGGAGGCTTTGGGGGTGGGCACCTGTGTCAGGGGGAGGAGAGGCTGGGTGACAGCTGTGCGCGTCAGTGATGAGGTGCACACGCAGGCTCCAGCCCGGCTCAGGCTGTGGGGTGTGTGGGACAGTTAGACCAGACCCTGCCCTCCTGTGAGTGCTTGGCTGTGTTCGTACCACAGTGCCTCCTGTGCTATCTTCATATATCTGTGTGCGTGGATCCAGATGTGAGCGTGTGCTCCCCCTGGGGGCCAGATGTTTGCAATCATAACAGCTCAGGTTTACTGAGCAATCACTATGTACCGGGCAAGATACAAAAACCTGTACACGCATGAGCTCATTCAATCCTCAAAGCAGTCCTCTAGGATGGCTCTTACTATTAGACTCATTTTACAGATGAGAAAACTGAGACCCACTGAGGTCCAGTGAACGTCCATGTCTTAGCCACACAGCCAGGACCCGGACCCCTGCAGGCTGAGTTAACTCCCACACCACACACCTCAAGTCCGTGCTGATGTGTGTCTATGTGCATGAGGGCAATGTCTGCTTCAGGTCCCCAGAGAGAGGGGGAAAGTAACGGGCCCTCCCACAGCCACCCGCCTGCCTGCGGCTCCCTGGTCCTCCAGGCTGACAGGCGCCTGGCTGTCTCCCTCTCTCCTGTCGCAGTGGTGGTGATGCCGGGCAGTGGAGTGCCCCACCAGCCCCGCCCACAGCTCTGGGGGCCCGTGGCCATCTTCCTCTTGGCGCTGCAGAGATGATGAGAGCTGCGCGGCCCCCCACCCCGCCCCTGGCACACCAAAGTGTCTGCATCGTACCAAAGACTGACCTCTGCCAGCCGGGGTGCCCGGGGCAGGGGCGGCCCACAAGGAGGGGCCTCCGTTGGCTGCGAGGATGAGCAGATTACAAGGACAGCGGCCCCGCGGAGGCCCTGCAGATGCGCACACTCACGCCCATACTCACACAGAGATATATTAAAGCACAAGTTTCTATCCGACCTGCCAGCCGGCACCTTCTTTACCGCAGAGACGGGGACGCACTGAACGGTGTCTGCCACCCCAGGGACCTCGGCGCCACGCAGCCTTGTCCTGGCTGCATCTGCGGTCTGTCTGCCCTCGCCCCGTCTCTAACTTCAGGCTGAGCTCCAACCCATGGCTTTACCAGGAAGGGAGCCGGCACAGGAGCCCTGCCTTGCCCGGACTCTGGGACTCCCTGGGAGGGGGGAGGCTGGGGTCAGTTTAAGGGGACGGGGTGCGGTGGGGAGACTTTGTGAGCTCTGTGAATGCCCAGTGCAGAGGACAAGGAAGATGAGACCCTGCTGCTTGCAACTCTGTTCCCCGGGCAAGGGCCAGAAGGTGGAGACCCCAGGTCCCCCAGATCCCCTGACCTGATTCCTGGGATGTCGTATCCCCCCTCCCTCCAGTGCCCCATTTAAAGGGACCCGGCATGGGGTTCTTGGGCCTGGCAGTCTGAAGATTGACCCCCCCCTCCACTACCTCCACCCCTGCCCTGAAGCATCTGGATTCCTGAGCGCTCAGTCCCCACCCAGCAGGCTGGCCTACCCTCACCCCAGCCGCATCTCCGAGGCCAGGGGAGTGGTGGCCAGGCCCGACTGGGGTGAGGCTTGACTCTGAAAGGGGCAGAGAAGACCTGCTTCACGATTTTGCATCCCCATGTCGGACACTGATCTTGGCAGTGGAGTGGAGCCTGCCTTTCTTATGTACATGGCACGAGGGGTTGCCCTGGACAGGAGGGTGTGTAGGGCGTCCCGTGGGCTGTTCCTGTCCCAGCCAGGGCCAGTGAAGGAGGGGGGCCTTGTAGGCTGGGGCCGGGGCGGTTGCTGGTCATGCTGTTCCCTGGGCATTGAGCTCATGCCCCAGCTGGGAAAGGGCTCCGGTCCTTGGGCCCTGGGTCGGAGCCCGAGTTGGGCATGACGGGATCTAGACCTTTCCTCAGCATCACTCCTGAGGCCCCTTCCAGGATGAGTCTTCACACATGTGTGCATGTGTCTCTGGGTGTGCATGTGTGCGCATGTGTGTGGGCCCGTGTGTCTGTGTGGCTCTGTGGGTACATCTCTGGCGCGAGTGTGTGCAAGTATGAGTCTGCGTGTGCAGTAAGACGTGTCTGTGTGTGAGGCTGGGTCTGCCCCTCACCCCCGTGAGGGCCTGTGTACGTCTGCGTGCATGCCCACCTTCAGGAGTGACGGGACCGCTATGGGGTGCTAGCCATGTGGACCGCTCTAGCCCTATTCTGTCTTCTCGCGCTGCCTGCCATCGCCTGAATGTCTACCTTTCACCCTCTGAACGGCAAGGAGCTTACAGATGACCCTGTTGGCATGCAAGCACCTGCGGAAGGGGCTTCTCCTGGAGTATTTGTGGGGGCAGCTGCAGGGAAGAGGCAGCGACGCCAGGGGCAGGCGAGAACCGAGGCAAACGCTGCCCGTCTCACTGCTCTGCCAGGCCTGATACCATCATCACCAACAGCGGGTGGGCGCCGGGCCAGGGCCAGAGCGGGGTCTCCTGATACCAACCAGCCTGGCTGCCTTCCTGGCCCGCCAAGGCCTCTGTCCGAAATGAGTGGCTCCAGGTCCCCAGAACACGCTGCCATCACGCCTGCAGGTATTGTTCCTTAACGGTCCCATCTGCGCAGGGTCTGTGGTCCCAACTAGACTGTGAGCTCCTCTGAGCCTTCCAATCCCTCCCCACCCCATCCCAACCTCTGGCCGGCACAGTGGCCTGCCCTGGAAATCCTCAGCGGGCGTTGCCCAGTGGACGGAATATACCAACAGAGCCTCCCAGGCCTGGGGGCAGGTCCGTGCCAGCAGAGTCTGGGAGGCAGCAGTGCTGAGTCCACCCCGAGGTCCTGGTTTCACTGACTGGCATGCGGCCTGGCATCGGAAACGCTGGGACGCTCCTCAGGGGGACCTAAGACTGGGAGCTCTGGCCTTCCACCTGCCAGTGCTGCCTCTCGTGACCCCTGGCCCCAAGCCTACTTCCCTCAGACGGCCTTTGGACACACCTGTCCCTGCCCTGGCTATCCACGAGGGGGACTGTCCTATGTTCCCCTCCACATCCATAGCGTCCAGTGCAGAAAAGGTGCTTGACATACGTCAGCTGAACTTAACTGCACACACGCGCGCCCTGGGTTTCTGGTCTGGAGAGGGGACCTGGTGACATGGACAGAGAGTGCAAGGCAGGGCAGTGACAGGGAGCACTGCTGAGGGAGCTGGCACGGCCTGGGCAGCCCTGACTTGAGGCCGCTGGCCCAGGCCACCAGTGTGCCTGAGTGAGACACTGAGGTCCCTGGTTCTCGCGTGCAGGGGTGAGGTGTGTGTGTGTGTGTGTGTGTGTGTGTGTGTGTGTGTGTGTGTGTGTGCAGCTGGCCTGCTGGGGATGTGGGGATGTGGGGATGTGGGTGTCCTGTGAGTGCCCAGGGGGAGCCCGTCTCTGTGCATTAGTGTTGTGCCAGGAGGTCTGCAAGGAATGAGTGCCTTTGTGTGTCTCTGGGTAACTTATAGGCGTGTGTGTCAGCCCCCCTGTGTCAGTGTCCCTGTGTTGTGTATGTTTGTGTGCCTGTGGATGTCGGCATCTGTGTGTTGGTAGGTGGCCCATGAAGACGCAGCCCAGGGGAGAACAGGCTGGCTGGACCCAGCATCTCCCCATGGCCGTCTCCCCTCTGGGGCCGGGTGGCTGAGGCTTGTTGTGGCCTTAAAACTGGGAGTGCAGGGTTAGCTCTCAGGGCGTCAGGGCCCCTCCACCCCACCCCTGCATGTGGGTGTCTGGGAAGAAAGGCACTCCTGGGCCAGGTGCTGCACGGGTAGGAGAGGGCGCCTCAGCCCTGCTGTCCTGCTGGGACTGTTGGACAGCCCCCTGGGTGCCGAGCTAGGCCCGCGAACCAAACCCCTCTGCTGGGATGCTCTCCCCTTGACCCCTTTCCCACTTGTCCTCCTCTCCCTGTGCTCCTGAAAGCCCTGCCCAGGCTGTCCGTGCCTGAGGAGGTGAAGCCCGGCGGGAGGGCCTGGCCCAGGTCACAGAGCCCGGTGGAGTGGAGTTAGCCCAGGAAGGCAGTGCTACAGCCCTGGGGGTGTCGGCCCACTGGCTACTGCCCCTGGGCCTCCTGCCAGGGAGCCGGGAGGAGCTTGGTCACACTGCCCTGTCTCCGAGTGTCTGGGCCCTGCCCTGGGAGAGGTACCATCTCCCTGTCCCAAATTCTGGCCTCTCACCCAGGCCACATTCCCTCCCGCCCCGGCTCAGGCCTGGGTGCCGCCTAGAGGCTGCCTCCTCCTGCCCACACCGGCTTAGCAGCAGCCCGCCCACCCCGGGTCCTCAGACAGAGGGACTGCTTCCCCTCCGCCCCTCCGCCTTCACACAAGCCCGGCCTGGGCGTGAAGGTCAGGGTGTCCTGGGTCGTCATCCTGTTGACTTCCCCTCAGGGCCAGGAGGGCCTGGGGAGCAGGGGCAAGTCCCGGTTTTCTTCTCCCTGGACAGGCCAAGGGGACGGGGGTATTTCCCATGTCTGTCTTCAGGAACAGGTGGGTGAAACAGGTTGAGGTTCTGGGTTTAAGGGGGCCCTTCCCATTTCCAAAGGCGGGGTAAGCACCTCCTCTCTGTTAAATCAGTGTTATGTGTGTATCTGAGCGTGTGTGTGAGTGTGTGTGTGAGGTGTTTGTGTAAGGGTGTGTGTGTGAGAGAGTGTGTTGTGAGGGTGTGTGTGTGTGTGTGTGTGTGTGTGAGAGAGTGTGTGTGAGAGAGTGTGTGTGAAGAGTGTGTGTGTGTGTAAGGGTGTGTGTTTGTGAGAGAGAGAGAGAGAGTGTGTTGCTGGGGCAGAAGGACCACTTTTCCCTGGAGACCTTTGACCCTTAGTGCTGGAAGGGACCAGAGACCACTGAACCCAGTGTCCCCACTGTGCAGGTGAGTAAGTGGAGGCCCAGAGAGATGGTACCTGCCCACCGCCACCCTTTCCCTCATGTCCCCACATTCATTTCCCAGGAGCCCTACTGGACGCCCTCCCTCCTGGCATCCCCCAGCCACCCACATCATCCTCTCAGCCCAGTTCCGGGGCTCCTCTGCCTCCATGGTCTCCAGCACCCTTCCTGCCCAGGGTGGCCATCTCAGCAGGCCTTCACCCCCCCCCCCCCAGGAGAAAGGACAGGGAGGAGGGGGCTGCTCCAGCCCTGAGGCCTCATGAACTTGGAAGAGAAGCACCCCCCCCCCCCGCCCCCCACCATGCCCAGGCCCACCCACCACCAAGGTCAAAGCACAACAGGAGACCCTCACTAGCGGGGGAAGGTACTGGGGTTGTACAGTCACACGACCCCGTCCTCACCCCTTTGCCTTGCTCTCTGTCTCCACCCAGCCCCTGCCCCCCCTTTGTCTCCTTCACCCCAAAACCCCCAATGTAACCTCTAGTTGCGGACGCGGTTGTTTCAATAAAGCTGCAGTTCTAGAGCTCGGCTCAGGCTGTGTGTTGGCGGCATGTGTGAGCGAGCCAGCCAGGCTGGGGCGGCGGGGGGCGGGGGGTGCGCAGGGGAGAGGCCAGGGCTCCTCTCCGGCCACTGGGAAAGCCCTTTTTCTCTTTGGCACCTGCTGCCATGGATCCTGTTCTGCCGCCCAGACGATGGGGACCTGTGTGGCCTCTAACCCAGTGAGTCTGGCCGTCCTCATCCACTCGTTCCTTTCGCAGGTGCTAGCCAAGTCCTGCCTCCCTGGGAGCTCCTGGGTAGTGGGGAGATGGACACTGGGCTGATAACACACCAGGAAATGGGTCGTTAGGAAGACAGCTGGGGCCAGGAAGGAACATTGATGCTGGGAAGGAAGGTAAGGGGATGTTCTTATTTGGGTTGGGGCTTCAGGGAAAACTCTAAAGAAGAGACATTTAGGAGAGACCTAAAGAATGATTGGAGTTAGGCTACTGGGGCAGAAGTGGTCTTCCAAGCAGAGGGAACAGAATGTGCAAAGGCCTAGAGGGGTAAAAAAATCTTCGAAGCTTCAAGGAAGCGGGAAACAGACAAGAAGGAGGATCACGTTGGTCAACCACTAGTACTCACTTCACCCTTTCCCTCCCCAGCTCCCAAGTCGTCCCCCCCGCCCTCCCCCCCCCACACACACGTTCCTGCTCCCCTCATAGTCTGTGCTCCTACCCTGGACCATAAACCCCACCCTGCACTCCACCCGGGGCTGCCTCCCTTACTCGTTGCCTGTTAGCTGCCCCTTTGCCCCCAAGTCATACTGCGCCAACCTTTCCCTCTCCCCAGCCTCTCAGAATCCTAGAATTCCAGAGCTGCGAGGTCCTTAAAAGCCAATTATTTCAACCACCTCCCACTATGTTTTCCTGGGGAGAAATGGCTTGCCAAGGTCATGGAGGCAGGTAGTGATGGGGGACAAGCACCCTCCCATGAAGGTTTGTGAAGTGACCCCAAATCACGGGCATGGGAGCCACGATATGAACTACTGAGAGGGCAGGCAAATGACAGGACGAGTCTTTCGAGTTACTCAGTTATGATGACTCAGGGAGGGAGAGCAAACAGCTCCATTTTCATGTGTCAGATGCGGAAACGGAGACTCAGAAAGGTGACGGGCTAGCGGCTCTCTCCCCATCTTCATCCGCTCACACCTTGGGTAACTTCTTGCTGCCACACCTAGGATTTCTCTTCTAGAGCCTGGGACCCACCACGTTGAATTGGCTCAGTGGGTACCAGGAGGAGAGACCCTCTCAAACCCACTCACGGACGGCAGCATCACTGTGAGGCTGTGTGTAGTGAGGGGGGCAGACGCTCTCAGAAACCCAAACACGAGAGGCGTGGCAGGGACGGGGCCTGGAACCAGATGGGGCGTCTGGATTCGGTAGCTTTAGGAGTTTACAGCTCCGCACCCGCAGAGTATAGATGGACGCAGATTATTCATTGTTCTTCCTAGAGATGGGGGAGTCTAGTTCCCTTCCCCTTGACCCTGGGTCGCCCACAGCGACTTGCTTGGCCTATAGAATTCGACGTTCTGTGTTGAAGGTGTCTTGCAGTTTCAGCTTGCCTCTTGGAGCGTCCTCCCTGGGAACTCTGAGTCACCAGGTAGTATGCCCACCTCCCCGAAAACTGACATGCAGGGGAGGCCACACGAGGGGCTCCAGGGGACCGTTCCAGCTGAGCCCAGCCTCCCAGTCATCCCCCCAAAGCACCAGACACGGGAGCAAAGGCGGGCTAGGCCAGAGGGTCCAGCCTGCCCTCCAGCTGCCCACCTCTGTCGGGGCCATGTGCCACAGAAGAATCTCCCAGCATGCTCGGCCCAAATGCCTGACCCTGAGTCATGGGATATAATCAAAATAGCTGCTGTTTAAATCCCCGAGGTTGGGGCAGTGTGTCAGAGGAGCAATGACCACCCCGGCGTGACTCAGCCACTTCCCAGCGCCTGCTGCTGTTGCCCACACAGCCCTCTCCTGACTCACCGTGTTTGCTCCTTCCTGACCTCAGCTTTCCCGGGCCACGGCCTCGCCAGCTCTGACCTCCCTCACAGCCTCCAGTGCAGCTCCCAGCACACACGGCCTCAGCCTCGCTCGAGAAGGGCCCCACGGGACTGGCCACCATTTCGTGCCATCATACATGTATCATTGGGCGACCTGTTGATTGGCTACCCCTGGGTCAGGTGCCACACCTGGTCCAATTAGCTGGATAGGAAGAAGCGGTCACAGATATATAACACAGCTGATGCTTCTAGAAAGGCTGTGGGTGGGCCCCCTCAGGAGGGCAGGGGGCTGGCAGGCCCCATAAATGCACCTCCTTGGTTCTTCCCTCTTTCACCCCCTCCATGACCATCCATTCTCACATTCTCAGGACACAGTGGTGCCGTGTGTGTGCCACGAAAATGACCCCGGCCAAGGGCAGGCCCCCAGGTGGGCCACACAGGTGGGTCAGGTAACTGACAGGAACAGAGTCTGGTGTCACAATAACTCAGATGTTTTTATTTTCATGTTTGCAGAGGAGGAAACAGGCGCTTACCCAAACCCATACGATCAGGAAGGGGAAGATGCGTGGCTCCTGGTGTGCGTTCTCCAGCCAGGCCTCCTCTCCCTCCTGCCCTCCCCGGTTCCTCACCCGCTCACCAGGGGCTGCAGAAGCAGAGCCTCTCTGGCGTGGCTCCCCCTTCGGATGGAAAATGTCCCCGGTCCTAATTTTCTATTTCTAGCCGCCTGACCTTTTTGCATGTGTCCTTTGTGGAAAGCGACTGTAACACCTTTTAAGAAAGAGGCTGGTTATAAATAAGCCCATGAAAAAGGTTGAAACTCTCCTCCCCAAGGTCACCCTGACCCTGGGGGGGAGCATCCCTCCAAACTGCTTGTCGAACAAACCCCTGCTCCCAGTTTGTCTTCCCTGGGCACGCAGCCCTGCTGGACCCAGCGTGTCCCCTGCTCTGGGGTCAGCCTGGCAGCCGCCCTGAATGCAAACCCTGCCCTGAGGCCCTGGCCCTGTCTCGTTGGCAGTTTTGGTCTTAAAATGTGTTGAGCTTCCCGTTTCTCTCAGGCCCGCGAGGCCGGCCACAGCTCAGCCCCCCACGAGGCCGGCCACAGCTCAGCCGAGGGCACTCACATCCCATACTCCTGCTGCCCAAGCACAGGCCTGCGCTCAGGGTCCCAGTGTCCTCCCAGAACCACCGCCAACTCACTGTCACCTGCAGCGTAGTGAGAAGTAGAGGGGAACACGTGCAGGGAGGCTCAGAGGTTAAGTGTCTGTGCAGAGGATGTCTCTAAGCCAGTGGTCGGCAAACTGCGGCTCTCGAGCCACATGCGGCTCTTTGGCCCCTTGAGTGTGGCTCTTCCATAAAATACCACGTGTGGGCGCGCTCATACAGTGTGATTGAAACTTCGTGGCCCATGTGCAGAAGTCGGTATTTTGTGGAAGAGCCACACTCAAGGGGCCAAAGAGCCGCATGTGGCTCGCGAGCCGCAGTTTGCCGACCAATGTTCTAAGCCAGGGGTCCTCAAACTACGGCCCGCGGGCCACATGCAAATACAAATATTGTATTTGTTCCCATTTTGTTTTTTTTACTTCAAAATAAGATATGTGCAGTGTGCATAGGAATTTGTTCATAGTTTTTTTTTTAAACTATAGTCCGGCCCTCCAACGGTCTGAGGGACAGTGAACTGGCCCCCTGTTTAAAAGTTTGAGGACCCCTGCTCTAAGCCATTGAGAGGTGCCCACAGTGTACTGTGCAAAGAGAAAGGCAGATCCAAAATAAGCAGGCCTGTGACTGCCTCATAATTATATTAGAGATACCTGTGCGTGCACGTGAGCATGTGAATGCTTTTCGATCTGGAGCAGTGGTTCTCAGCCTCGGCTGCACGTTAGAATCACCTGGGAGTCTTTTTAAAATCCTGATTTCTGGGCCTCATCCTCCGGAAATTCTGTTTCCTTGTTATGGGGTGGGGCCACAACATTAGTAACAAAGAAACAGAATTTCCGGAGGACGAGGCCCAGAAATCAGGATTTTAAAAAGATTCCCATGCCGAAACCGGTTTGGCTCAGTGGATAGAGCGTCGGCCTGCGGACTGAAAGGTCCCAGGTTCGATTCCGGTCAGGGGCATGTACCTGGGTTGCGGGCATATCCCCAGTGGGAGATGTGCAGGAGGCAGCTGATCGATGTTTCTCTCTCATCGATGTTTCTAACTATCTCTCTCCCTTCCTCTCTGTAAAAAATCAATAAAATATATTTAAAAAAAAAAAAAAAGATTCCCAGGTGATTCTAATGTGCAGCCAAGGTTCAGAGCCACTGATCTAGAGGAACGTTCACTGGGTTATCCGTAATTATCTCTGGTGAAATTTCAGGTGCTCCTGACTCACAAGTATTATTTTTAATAACCACGAAATAAATCTATTCTCTTAGAAAAGAAAAGCCAGAATCATCCAGGACTATAGATTAGAAATAAAGGTCACTTTTTTCCCCTTAGCATTATTTTTATAACTACACATCACAGAGCCTGGGAAAGGCTGTGAACTTAGACCTTAAAATCTCACCTGCCGATTTATTCCAATACAAACGCTCAGACAATGGGGATGAGGAGAGGAATTGGGTTGCTCTGGTCAGGGATGAGGGGGTGAGGATGTATAGCCGAGTTTGGAATAAGAAAATCCAA